TCTGTTAATGAGGAAGAGCTGACTCAGCTGGACAGTTGGCAGTTTGCAGTCTGGGCAGATGTGGTAGCACACCTGACCTGACACTCATGGCTAAGATACCCACTTAGGTAGTGAGGAGGCACAGGGAAGCCTCTTCTATGAAGCACAGTACAGAGGATGAGGAGGGAGATGCTTAGCATGTATCTGCACTTTGTGCTTTGTCTTGCCTCATGGTCTTGCTTAGACTGGCCACAGTCCTTCCAGGGAGGGCTGATGTGTCAGTGAGGACCAGACAGCATAGACATTACAGAGCTCTAAAAGCTGAAGGGGAGGCATTTTGTCATAGAATCATAGAATGGTTTGGGTTGGAATAGATCTTAAAGATCATCTAGTTCCAACCCCCCCTGCCATAGGCAGGGATAAGGGACTGTCCTCTGGCTCCAGTCAATTTCCAGGCTGTTTTCTCTCTAGAAACCTGGACTTTGTAATACCAGCTTTTGCCACAAACAGCTGTTGTCATGAGGTAAGGCAGCATCTCTCCAGTTGGCCTTGGAGACCTCTATGGGCAGGCACTACTCCTTGTCCCAGATGTTTAACCTTGACATGCCAGGCAACCTGGCGACATGGTGGCAATGTTCAAGACAAGCAGAAATATTGCCAAAGTCAAAAGCTTGTAAATAGAGTGCTTTGCACCTCTTCCCCTTCTGTGAGGCTCCAGCATGCTCCCCCACTTGCTTAAAGCAGATTTGTGCCAAGAAGCAGGAGGCATGCATGAACGAAGGGCAAGAGAATGAATGTGCATTCTGGGAACAGGCAACAGCTCAGGTGGATCTCCTACCAGCTCTGTCATATGTGATCTGTATTACAATGGGATGGCAGTTCAAGCTGCTCTGCAGTGAAACAGGACTGCTCATTTATGAAGGAGCTGGGGGAATATTCCTGTATGAATGTGCAAAGAACTGCAGAGAGAGCTTCTGAGGGCTTGTTTCTGTGTTCTCTGACTCTGTTTCATGAACCTTCCAGCTGGGATCAGGTTGGTTAAGTTTTGTGTTCTCCCAGCCTGTGACTTTGTAGTTCTGTGGCAATTTCCATACCATGTGCCAAAGAGCATCCTTGGATTGAATGCAGATGCCAGTGTGGCTGACACTGTGAGAAGCACATGATATAATGGGGAAGGCACAGTGCTGGCAGCCAGAATTTTGTGAGACCTGTCTTGGCTTTGGCTTTCCTGAAGTATTTAGCATTATATGCCTCACTTCAGTGTTGTAAGAAGTCACAAGTGTCTGCAGTCACACGGGACTGTTAATTAACTGGACATAATTCTTTATGAGTAAGCCATGCTTTTTTACATTAAAGAAGAAAAAAGTATAATAACCAAATCAGGAGCTGTTGAAAATATGCATCTGTACATATTTTCTGTGTAGGTGCTGCTTGAGCACTGTTCTCCTTGTTCCTGGATGAGTCCACACATGGTGAATGCTCATCCTTCTAAAACCACTGATGTTATTTAAATATATATCATGTGTACATATATGAGGTGAAGAAATGAAGTGGGCAAGGCACTGGGGATTTTTCAGTAAGATCATGCAGACATGACTTGGGTGCAGGGCATCCAGTCTCTTCCTTTGCTAGATGACACCAGCTGTGAGTATTGTAGTCTTGAATGAGTATTGTTCATGTCATATTTCCTTAAAGAGCTGTCTAGGAACATAATGTAAGCCCCACACAAAATAGACACCCCTTGATTAGGTTGTTTCTTGGATTCAAGAGTCACTTGAATATGTCATTTATCTTGGGAAATGCGTTAAATTCAAGCTCTTCTCAGGGGTGCTTGTCCTGGGTGCTCCTGCTTCTCCCACAGACTTCTCCCTCTGGAAGCTGTTCAACTGAGAACAGATGTCTAGCCCTGGAACATTGTTCCCTGTGACGCCGGAAGAAATGGAGAGAGGAAACCTACAAAGGCTGTAGCACATGCTTATATTCCTTTAGAAGCTCTTGTCTCATCAATTATTGCTCTGCTAATAAAGTCCATGTGGCTTTTCTGAACAAATTCACTAGTTATGCATCTTTTGACTGGAATACTGCTCAGTTAAAGTCACTAATAACAGATAAGTGTCTGGGCAATCAAATACAAATTAAAGAAGACAAATTCAAAAAGAAGCCTTTGGCAGAGGTTTGCAGAGCACTGGGGAGACCACCATTGTCTTCGATGAGTCTCCTGCCTTCTGACTACTGCCTGAAACACCACACTTTAGCTGTGTTGCTAAGGAATGTCTAAGGGATTGTCACACTGTTGGAGGAGTGGGTATGCCAATTTTGAGCCCACAGTAATTATCTGTTATTGTTTTTTCTAGTGCCAAGGTCAGGTATTGAAAGCGACTGTTAACACTGGGTGTCTACCAAATCTCATCTCCAAGAGCTGTTTAAACCAGCTGGGGTAAGTCTCTGCACAGTAGAAAAGGAGGGGTGGCTAAAAGAAGACTATGACAAGAATGTAGGCACTCTTGATTCCCAGCCCCAGTAATAATTACTAGCAGCTTTGCATGTGCACATGGTTGTTTAGGAGAAGATGCAGAGGGTGGGCTACAGGGCAAGGCATCAGGAGCACTGGCAAAGTTGTGTGCAGACCCCAGACTAGTCGGCAGAGCTGTGTCATTCTGTCTGTGTGTACTGCAGGGAAAAGCCTCAGCTTTGGTTAGCCTCAGCGGTGAGGAACCCAAATGGACAGCGCCTTATGATTTTGCTTGTGGAATTTGCCTCCAGACATGCTGTATGAAAGAGATTCCTCCTCTTGTGGGCCTGTTCCCAATGAGACCAAGAAGTACTGCCATCAGTGAGAAGTCCTGTTTTTCCTCCTCTTCCTCCACTTGAGGTAATAACACCTCTTGTGTCCCACAGGCTGGAAGAAGTGTCTGCCATGGACTGTGGAGACCTCTCTCTTCCCATCCCCAGCGTTGTTGGTCGAGTAGAACATATGGAGTTGCAATTTGGCCAGGAGACAGTGCTGTGTTCAGCACTGGTTGTAGGTGAGAGTGCCAGCCCCTTCTCTCCCCCAGTTTTCCTGTGTTCCTCTTGCCCTGCCAAGAGCATTTAAAAGGATCTCTGGGAAAAGCGTAATGCAGTAGGAGGTTGGTGATGTGGTCACCTCCACTGCTGGCCAAGATCATTATGCGCTGTGAATACCCTCAATATAACCAAAGGCAAAGGGCATAGGAAGAGCACAGAGAAGACAGAAGATGTTGAAAATGGGGAGAAATGAGGTGCTTTTTGGTCTTAACACAGGATGTGAAAAATTCGCATTTCCTTCTAAAATGGACCTACCTTAAAATTATTCAGACTGCTTGATTAGTCCTCTGGTGCCCTCTGTTCTCCTATTGAATGGGCACTTGTGTCTTTGGCTGGATGGAAGTCATCAGAGAAACTGACACAGGGTACAGCTTATTCCCCAAAGTGTTTCTCTGTACTCATCTGCCTCTGCTGCAGGGAGCACCCTGGAAGAACCTGGTAGTCCCAGAGTGCTGAGTCTCCCTCAGTGTCCTGAGGCAGGACCCTTTGAAGGAAGGAGCCATAGGAGACAAGGTCAAGTCAGCAGGCACTGGAGCACACCCAGAAAACAGCAGAAAGGCTGCATGTTCTGCATTTACATCAAGCTGTGCATATGCTGAAAACAACTTAGTTGTCTTTTTTTTCCCCTGTTCTTTCTCCCTATTAGTCTTCCAGCTGTACCCTCTTGCCTTTATCTGTCTCCTCATCTTTGATGATTACTGTTCATCTTCCAAGGCCTCCCTTGCTCCCTCTTCTCATGTTCATTTTTCCCACTTTCCTAGCCATCTAGAAAGAGTTTCCTCCTCTTCCACACTCCAGCTCATTCTTCTTCCCTGGTTTCCCCTCTACTTGTTCTTGCCCTGCATGGAGAGACTGTATTAGCACCAGCACAGGTAAATTTAGCCCAGTAGCACCTATACATTTTGCTGGGATGTAGAAATGGATGCCTGGAAGGAGCAGAATTGCTATATTTGTGCCTTGCATCTCCCTGTGCACACAGTGCTCTTGCTTATGTGGTAATAAATAAATTATAAAATAACAGCCACTGGTTGCAGGGCAAGCAAGCATCCAGGAGACATGGGAAGTGTTAATGATGTGGTGGCTGCTGAATCCTGCAGACCCCAGGACCTGGGGATTCCTCCTTCCCTGCCACTGAAGTCCAGATGGATGACTCTATAAGACCCAGGAGGTCGCTCTCGCCCAGTCCAATGCATGTTCTTAGTGGCAGGTTTGGACAGTAGTGAGGCTGAATGTATATTCCAGAGAAGCACATACAGAGAGGACACAGACAAGGCCAGCCACACAGATAACCACACATAGAGCAGTGCATTTACTAGCACTCACATAAACACCAGCACAGATAGCCCAGTCCTGGTCCTCCTCTCTGGCTGACCAGTAGTTCACTAGCAGAAGCTCATACATCCTCAGTCTCTAGATTCACAAGCACACTCATATTCACAGAGTCTTCAAATAACAACACAGCTTCTAGGTCTGTCTTATATCCATGTCTGGACCCTCGGCCCCTTACCTAGCCACTGACACAGTCTTTCCAGATGCAGGTTTCCTCCTACTCACTGGCTAGACCAGACTGAAGTTTGCTAGCTAATTATGTATACAAAACCACAAGCCTATAGGATTAAATTCACTGGGGAAATATAAACACACCCAAGTCTTTCTAGTTAGTGGCATTTAGACATCTCACACATATGCCCTGTCCTCTTCAATTGCTGGCTTATAAACCTAAGGCCCCTGTGACCCTCATCAGAGCTGATACCCAGAGCTCTCTTGCATGCTGATCTCTCCAGTTGCTGGCACCTAGACCTACAAGCTCTGTGACCCATAGTCCTTTTCCAGTTACTGGAACTTAGACCTTGCAGCATACATTGCTGTCCCTCCGGTTGCTGGCACCAGGTGTATGAGCCCTATGGCCTGTGCTCCCTTCCCCAGTTACGGGTACCCAGACTTCTCTTGCACACTGGTCTTTCCAGTTGCTGGTGCCTGTGAGCTACGTCCCCTTTTCCAGTTGCTGACACAGACCTATGAGCCCTATGGCCTGTGGTCCCTTCAGTTATTGGCACCTCTCTTGCATGCCAGTCCCTCCAGTTTCTGACATCTCGAGCTATTTGCCCTTTAACCTGTGGCATCTTCTACACTGCTGACACTTTAGACTTGCAGCAGTCACATGTAGGATAGACAGGTTACACAGAAAAAAATTACTTAATAAAATTATTTAATAAGAAAATTGGCTAGATTGCGGCCATCAGGCGCAGGGTTCGGTCAGACAAGCGAACTGACCAACAGACTGCTTGCATGTGACTGGCTCCCTTATCCCCCCTCCTCTCCATTTTTCCATGCTTGTTCTTCCCTGATCCACCCTGCTGCTTGCCTTCTCCTGCCTTTGGCCCTTCCCCTCCACAGCCCATACTAAGTTTTACATGATCCCACAAGCCCCTTCTGATATCTCATAGTAAGTTTCAAACAATCCCACAGACACCCTCAAATATCACATAATACTCATGATAATCATGGTTCCCTCCTCTTATCAGTTATAAAGTTCATTTTGACCCTCTTCAGGGCTGTGCCTAAGTAGTTCCGTTAATGGCTCAACCATCAGTGGCAGAAGAATGCTGGTCTTTGTTACTGTCACTGTTACCACCTGCTTGTTAATGTTCATGTGTTTAATTCATCACTTTCCTGTTATTTGTTATTTACTTTATACTGACTAGACCATATAACTTTATGAACCAGATACTCTCATATTGCACATCCTCTTACAGGAGAGACACACTTTCTTTAGAGGGGCAGTATATATAGTCTTGAGCCTGATCAGTCTCTTCTCTCTTCTCAGATGATGAAATGCTGGAGTTTTGCATTGGTCTCCAGACTCTGTTGTCTCTCAAGGTAAGGAACAGCTTCTTACTTATTGCAGGGCTCCTCTCAACAAGTTCTCCAAGATTTGGTTGCTGGAAGCGTCAGAAATACTTAAGGCCAGTCTTCCAGGGTGCCACTTGCAGTGCTTGTTGCACAGCTGCCTGGCTGGCTGCAGTATGCTCTGAGTCACTGATTGCTTTCCAGTCCTTCTTAAAGGTTTTAAGAAAGGAATCACCCAATAGGATACTATCACATCTCCCATTCTTTGTATTCCTGACCATACAAGTTGCAAAACAGGAAGAGGAAACTGAAGAGGAGACTAGAAAAGGCAAGGCACACTGTGTTATGAGTTATATCTGTGTTGCCTTCTGAAGGCAGATGTTAACAAGCTCTGCCCTTGCTTTAAGTCAAATGAAGCCATATGATCACATTCAGTGTCCAATACTAGCTGGACACGGGTGGAAACAGTCCTCTCCTTTAGTCAGCTCAGCACGGGGTTAGTGCTCTGCTGAGCCTGGCTCCTGGGTGGCTCAGAATATGGCTGCAGCAAGCTTGCTCCCACCTGTCAAATGTTTGTAGCCATGTCAGACTCATAAAGCAGGAGAAGCATTGGGCTGAATGGCTGAGTGATGTGAGGACATCACCTCAGAGATGAATGGCCGTGTGAAGGGTTTGGAGAGAAATCCATTGAAGGGAATAGGAGCAAGCAGGCAGCATGGGGGACAGGGAGGGGAACTGTAAGGTCTACAAACATAAAGTGGGGCTGTTTGATGGTTATACAGGTTTTCCCGTCATAGACATCATGAGATTTGCTATCTGAAATGTCCAGCAAGTAACTGGCTCTCCCCTTCTTTAGTGTTGCATCGACTTGGAGGAAGGAGTCCTGAGACTTAAAGCACTGAGTCAAGAGCTGCCTTTTCTACATGCCTCTGAAGAGCCTGGTCAGTGACTGGCTGCATTCCCCATGTCCGGGGCTGAGGAGACTTGCTGCCATGAGAGAGAAATGAGGGTGAGGCTCACATGCCCCTAACTTTGCTGAGTTCTAGGCTGAGGCATTCACTGGGGAGTGAGAAAAAGGCAATCAGTGCTGGAAGCTGTTGTTGCTGGGAGTGCCTCATCTTGAGAGCTATCCCTCCTTTCAGTGGACCCTCTTGCTTGTCCCCATGTGCCTAGTGGGCATTTTGTTCTTGTTTGTCTATCTGTCCCTAGTGACTCCAATTTCTGCTTCTGTACTAAATTCACTCTATCTTTTTAATGACTTATTTTTACAATACCCTCCGTTCATGAGACAAGAGTCTCTGTGAACAATCTCCAGTTGTTCGGTGGACAGGAGGACAGTGCTTTCTCCAAAAGCTTCCAAAGATTGCCATGAATGTTTCCCTTCTCTTTGCCTCAGTGTAAGCAGACTCCACTCCCCTTTCTTTGTGGGAAGGGCTCTGTGGCCAGTCCCCTCACCTGTACTATGGGAAGCTGGATTTTGTTACTTTTTGCTGGCTCAGAGCAGAACAGAAGTATTCTCTTGTAAAAACCTTGCAGCAAGAACACTTTGAGAGTTCTTAATTCTAAGAAACATTTGCAGAAATGCTGAGTGTAGATGCCTAGAGTACAGTGGACACTCATAGGGGCTTGGACTTTGCAAAGGCATCCTTGGCCACTAAGGTATATTATATGAATGCCAGTGCTTACAATCTCTTGGTGTTATACATAGTAACCAGACTCGCACACCCTGTTCTTCTGACCAGGCCTCTCCTCTCTGCACTCCAGCTGCTAGAGCTACATTCCTATCACCTCTGCTGCATCATCAGAGATCCTGCCACCCAGTTTAAATGCTGCGATGAATAACAGCACCCAGAGTCTTCTGCTCTGTCAGCTCCTTTCTTTCAACTTAAAATCTAGTGATTGGACACAGACACATCATCAGCCTCAAATCCCGCCATCTCACAGCTCATGAACTTTGCTACTCCTGCATGAAACAAGAACTAGATTTCCTTGCAGTATCAGCTCAGGTCAGAGAACTGTGAACTCATCTGGGATGACCAGGGTGATTATTAAGTCACTTAATTGTTGGGGTTTTTTAATTTTATTTTTTTTAATTTTTTAAAATTTTTTAACAGAGCATAGCTGTATGATAAATACATAGTCTATTCTTTACTAGCTGTAGGAAAGATGCACCAGATCAGGGCTTGTTCCATGCTTCATGACTATTGATTCACCATCCAAACTGCAAAATGTCCCTTTGTCCACCCTTAGAATGTCATGACATCCCCATTTTGCCTATCTTCCTGAACTAAACACTGCTGGCTCTCTTCCTTTTTTATCAAACTGCTCATTGTTTCTGTTGTGCTTCTCAAAGAACTTGTGTATGCATTTTTGCTTTTTTCTGTTAGTTCTTTCCTAAATCAGATGCTATATTCTGTAGTTTAACACATGCTAAGGACAGCAGAGTTACAGCCTGGCTGATACGATTTGTGATGCACTTACCACTGTTGGTGTGACTGGCATCTGCTCCTCCTACAAGCCACATCAGGCTAGTGACTTTTATTGTCAGTCATCGTATGTTGCAGCTGATCTGTTCCTTGGCTTCTTTGCCATTCTTCTACTCGTGCATCTGATTATTTTTGGCTGCATGAACTGCTTTCAATGAATCTCCTGAATGCCACCAACAGTTCTCTCATTTATGTCAGGACCCATGTCCACTTGATGAGCCTGTCTTCCCAAGTACCAGTAATTCCTCCTGGATTTGTACCACTTGCATGTCTGACTGGGTTCTCAAACCTAAGGGTCTTTAATGACAGTTCAGACTTGTACTAAACAATCTTATGTGTCAGCTGGAATCTACATGATACCTGGGTAAGCTCTGCTGAAAAAATACTGTTTGCAACAGATAAACACCTGTTCCTATGTGCAGCAACTCACCTAGCTTCCAACCGTCATTGCCCTCTAAAAATGGCATGTGGAACAGCATATAATCTGCTAAAGCTGAGAGATACCATGTCCATTACATCTCCTATTATTCACTAACTTTTATGATCTATTTAAAAAAAACCTGAACCCTAAACTGAAACATAACCCCTGAAATCTAATCCAACCCTCATCACCTAATCCTAACCCCAAATTGTAAACCTAATCCTAAACATAACACTAAATATAAACCCTAACCCCAAAAACTAACCCTAATCCCCAACCCTAACCTCTAACCCCTAATGCAAACCCTAACTCTATCCCTAAACCTAACCGTAATCACTAAACATGGCCCTAACACTAAACCTTAATACAAAACCTAGCCCCTAACCCTGACCCTAACCCCTAGTCCTAACCGCTAGCCCCTAAATCTGAAAGTTAACCATAAACCTAACCACCTAAATCTGAACCTCTAACCCCCAAACTCTAATCTCATAACCATAACCCTAATCCCAAATCCTAAACCTGGTAACTGTAACATGTAACCCTAAACCTACCCCTAACTCTAACCCCAAACCTAAAATAAACATCTAACTCTACCCCTAAGCCTAACCCATAAACCTTAACCCTAAGGCCTAGCCCTAAACCCTAACCCTGACCCTAACTCTAACCCCTAACGATAACCCTTAAGCCTAATGCTAATCCCCTAACCCTAAACCTAATCCCCTAACACCAAACCCCTAACCCAAACTCTCTAAATCTAATCACCTAACTCTAACCTACTTATTCTAACCCCCTAAACCTAATTCCAAAACCTAACCCTAATCCTAAACCTGTTACCTCTAACTCCCAATACTAAACACTAACCCTAACCATATCCCCAACCCTAACCCCTAAACCAAACCCTAACATTAACCCTATCCCTAACTCATAACCCTGAGCCATAACCCTTAACTCTAACCCAACCCCCTAATCCTAACCCCTAGCCCTAAACTGATAAATCTGAGCCCCTAACTCTAATGACCTAACCCTAACCCCAAAACCTAGCCCTAATCCTAAAACTAATGCTAACTCTAATCCCTAACCCCCTAATCTTAACCCTAACCTCTAACACTAAACCCTATCTCTAACTCCTTACCCTAACCTTAATGGCCCTAACCCTAACCCCTAACCCTAAACCTTACCCTATCCCATACCCCTATCCTTAACATTCCAGAGTATTTGATGGCTTTTGCCAGTGCCCACAAGGGTCCCTGCTTCTCTCCAGAGTGCCACAAAGCTTTAGCCAGGATTTGCAGAAGCCTGCAAGGGGCCCTGCTGCCTTCCAGAGGGCCCCAGGGCTTTTGCCAGGGTTTGCTGCCAACAGCTTTCAGTCCTGGCCACTTCTGTGTGAGCACCATGCCTGGCAGGCATCTATTTTGGAGCTGGACTCTGGCTAGGGTGAGAGTGTAGGTGAGTAGGAGCCTTCCCAAACTCAGACTGAAGCCAACAGGAATCCTTCCAATGATTTAAAGGGTGCTGGATGGGATTCTACAGAAAATTGGCATGACTTTGAGTTGACAAGTCTATTTTGACTAGTGCCCGTCACTTACAGCCCTGCAAATACTTGCACACTAGCTGCTGTTGGAATTCACCAGGTGCTGTTCTTACACGTCAGTCTTGGGATAACTCTGCTTTTGTTCACCTTCAGAACATCCTCCAGTCCTTCTGAAGCCTTTCTATGATTCACATGCCTCATTTCTCAAATCACCAACAGTTCAGGTTCCTCTGCGAATTAATGTGCTACAGTAGGTGAAAATCACCAGCCCAATCTGTCCCTCTCTTCTCTGCATAATGAATCCTTCTTTGCATGCTCCTTACCTTCCCCCAAGCAAATCATTCATTCTTCCACACTGGTAAGTGACAAATTTGCTTCTTCCAAAAGGAATTCTTGCATTATTAGACAATCCTTTTAACACTTTCCTGTACCCTGGTTGCTAATACTCTCTCACATTGTGCCACTATCTTGCCAGCCTTTCCTCTTTGTTCTTAACAATTGCATGTATAAATGTAGACTGTGCCACTTGTCAGTCACAGAGAGGATGTTTCCAAGCAAGTGCTAAATTAGTGTGTAAAAGCTCTTTTCAGCTGTGAAATCAACTCCAGAGCAGAAGACGTGCTTTTCACCTTCCTCCTGTCCATGTCAGTTGAACATGCAGGTCCACACAGTAAAGGTCTCTTCCACACAGACATTGAGGAAGCTGTTGCCAACAGTTATACTGGAACCTCCCCATCAAGCTTTGTTGCAGGCAGAGCTTACAGAAAAAAACATTTATATGACTAAATGAGAACTGCAGGTCATAACACCATGGCTGACACCTCACTTCAACTCATTCCCTAAATCACAGTCTAATCCTACAGTGTCAGTACCTGGTTTCCTCATCATCAAACAGAACTCCTGGTGGGTTTCCATCTCCCAAAGTTCCTTGGCATTAAATGACATGCTGTTACTGACCTTAACACATGTATTCTGAATTCTTGCCCAAACTGGTGTTTTCTCCAAAGACCAGCATTTTTGTGTCATTACATGGGAATCCCAGCTTCCATTGTGAAAGACAAATCTTAGCTTTAAAAGATGTGATCATAAAACAGGATTTACAGCATCTCAAAGAAGCAAACTTAACCCCATCTATAAACATGGTAATTTTTAAGTCTTCCTACGTTAGGGAGCCCATGAAGTAATTTTTAAATGGGTTAGCAAGGCTGAAGACTGTCTCAATTGTAGTTTCTTTTGGAAAAGCCTATTATACAGATACACTTCCCTACCCCCAATTCCAGTCATCTCTATTGCTTTTGGGGGACAAGATGAAGGAAGGAGCTATCTAAAGGTCTTTTCCGCTGGAGATAAAAAAATGCTAATGCTTTCATATGGAAAGTAGAAATTCAGTACAAACTGCCACCTCAGAACAGGACATAGGCACATCCTGTACGTGTCCAGCACTGGCTTCCTCATGATGAGGCCCATCCCTTCAATACAGACAATGGAATGTTATTATTTTAGGAATAATC